TCAAGCCTTTTTTTCCCTTTAAACTCACTATTTTTTTTCTCTTTCACTCTCCAGCCACCTCTTCCTTGACTCGGGCTCTGAATTTTGTTTGCTCTCTCGCTCCTCCTGTCTCTCTTCCTCCTGCTGTTCATTTAACCTTCTTTCACACTCGTTCTACCCTTATCTCTCTTTCTTACCTTTCATACATTTTTTTTTTCTTCCTTCCTTCCCTTTTTTTAAGCGTATCCTTTACTCCCCTGCCAGCATGTTGCTCAGTGCAGGAATGTTGTTGCTATGCACTGTTACAAGTTGCCTCTCCTTGCTTATGACGTGAAACAAAGTGCCTGTATATGGAGGAACGTTAACCTCCGTGGCCTGAGGCTGCTATGCAAAATGACAAAACAACAGTGTGCAGCTGTTCACATCTGTCCATTCTGCTCACATTTAAGAAGACTTCTTATCCCCTCATCAAACGTGACACATAAACCTACATCTGTGCATGAAACCGCTTTGTGTATGTGTTTACACGAATGTGTATCTGGGTGAGGAAGCGACGGAGTGGCATGATGTTTATGTAAGAAAAAAAGATTTAAGTTTTCTCAGTTTCTCAGTTTCATTTAATTTACTGCTTTGATGGACCAGAAGCCTGCTTGATATATTTAACCTCTAAGGGCCCATATGTAGGCACACAGTTCCTCACTGTCATAACTGCACAACTCACACATTAGCTTCATCAAAGCTGCTGAAACGTTTTAGTATTAAAAGCTAATTAATAAGCCTGGAGATTAAGAGGTTAACATACCATTTTACTACATATCAAATTCAAATTTAGATTTTTTTTGTTCACTTTTTTCATAATCTACAGTGAATGCTTTTGTTTTTTGGTGCTATATGTTTTGTTGTCAGGAGCATGACATAAAGTGACCTTTCAAAGAAATGACCCTTCATATGTTTGTCTAGGCTGATATATATTTCATGCACATCACATGCTCACACAGCTTCAATGTTCTTGTGTTATGATAAATATTTCAGTTAGTTGCTAAGTACATCAATCAAGTAATTGAAGGCAAAGCAATGAACCAAATGATAGTGAAATAGCGAAATAAATAAAATGAAATAAAAAAGAAAGCTGTTTATTCCAACCTGGATTTGTTTGCAAATCTGCATTATCATCCTGGAAGTAGCCATTAGAAGATGGTAAATTTTGGCCCTGAAGGAATGCACATGGTCAAATGCTCAAATAGGCTGTGGCATTCAAGCAATGATTAATTGGTATTAATGGGCCCAAAGTGTACCAAGAAAACATTCTCCACACCATTACACCACCTCCACCTGCCTGGACTGTTCACACAAGGCACATTGGGTCCAAAGATTCATGCTGTTGGTGCCAAAATCTGACCCTACCATCTGTGTGACTTAGCTCAAATCGAGATACATCAGACCAGGCTATGGTTTTCCAGTCTTCTGCTGTCCAGTTTTGGTGAGCCTGTGTCCACTGCAACCTCAGATTTCTGTTCTCAGCTGAAAAAACGGAATGATGTGGTTTCTTGCTGTTGTAGCCCATCCTCCTCAAAATTTGATGTGTTGTGCATTCTGAGATGCTGCTCTGCCTATTATAATCATACAGATGTGATTATCTGTGTTATCTGAGTTTCTGTCACATTTTCTTTAGGTCGAACCAATTTAGCCATTCTCTGTTAACCTCTTTCATCAACAAGGTGTTTCCATCCACAGAACTCTGCTTATTAGATGTTTTCCTTTAATGCACCATTCTGAGTAACTCTAGAGACTGTTGTGCATGAAAATCAGAGGAGATCAGCAAAACAATTCAAATGGCACCAACAATCATGCCATGGTCAAAGATCATTTTTTCCCCCATTCTAATGGTTGATATGAACATTACCTGCATCTGCATGATTTTACACACTGCATTTTTTTCACATAATTGGCTGAATATATAATTGCACGAATGAGTAGGTGTGGTGTGCCTAATAAAGTGCTTAGGGAGCACGTATACATAGATTGACTAGCATATTTATAAATACAAACATATATGTACATGCATGTACTTTTTTTTAATCCAGAAGGGTTAGTGAGTGTTTCAATAGCAGAAAACAAGAATGTTATGACTGTTTTTGGGAACATAATACTACACAAAAATCATAAGTGGACCTATGCAACCTTTAAAACTACCAATGTCTCTAAAAATCCTTCTTTCAAACCAAAAAGATGTGAGTTGCTTTTTCATTTCAAGGCAACACTAGAGGTAAATTTGAGTGTCTGTTCTGTTCTTGTCTGTGGCACATCACTGAAAAGAGAAATGAAAATGGAAGAGAAGAGGTGGGCTATCCCATGCAAAATCAAATTCAGCTGCAAAACGAATTCTGTGTAAAATCAGTGTGTGCACAGCGACAGCCCCTCAGGAGCGCTCAGTATATGAAATAAAGTGGATAGTCTTTATCCTATTTATTATGCATGGGCATAAATGTTACAAACTGCTGACTGTGGAGACGGTCGTGTTTATGTCTCTGTGGTGGGGGGTCTGAGTCCCTTGCTGTTTAGATGGACTCCTATTGGCTCATGCAGGGCTCAATTCCATAAATAATTATCAATAAAAGATAAATCATTATATATATATATATATATATATATATATATATATATATATATATATATATATATAATATACACACACACACACCGATCAGGCATAACATGTCCTTGTTTCATTTCATTTCATTTTATCAGCTCCACTTACTATATAGGTGCGCTTTATAGTTCTACAATTACAGACTGTAGTCCATCTGTTTCTCTACATACTTTTAAGCCCCCTTTTTCACTGTTCTTCAGTGGTCAGGACCCCCATGGACCCTCACAGAGCAGGTACTATTTGGGTGGTGGATCATTCTCAGCACTGCAAAGCCACATATGACGAGCCCAGCAAAAATAACCGTTCTGTGGTTTAATTCCTGCTTTGTGTGCACTGGGAATCAATGGCATTTGGTGAAGTTACTGTGAGTCTGATAATCATGGCTGCCGTGTTATTTCAGCAGAAGACAATGTATTTGTGAATAGACTGTGTCAGATATTAGATGTCAGTTCGTATTGGATGTAAGTTCTTGTGGGAGCGGGTGGGAACGGGACTGAAAAAACTGTACACTGTACACCTCTACGCTGGATCTACAAGGTGGTGTAGCTAACAAGTAATGAAGGCTTATACCCCACCAATTAACACCATAGGAATCTCAATATTTAGTCATTTAACTTATGTTGAACTTGCTATCTACAGATTTAAATTTTGATTAGTCCAATTCTGCATAACGTTTTGTATTACTAAAAGAGTTTTATGAGTCTTCATAAAAAATAGTATGTCATATGGTATTAAACACATAAGTAAATCTATTTGAGATTAGTAGGGGAACTAATGCATTCATGCATTAGTAAGTGGTTACATTATAAAAAAAAGAGGTATAGTAGTTGTATAGTAATAAAAAAGTAGCGTAGTTTGGTGTGAAATGCTCTGTTCTTGAGAAACTTAGTGAGTCAGAAGTGTTCACAGTGGTGGTGACAGGAACCAGATATCTGAAGGGTTTAATGCCTCTAAAAGCTCCTTCACAGAGAATAATTACATGAAATGCTTATGAATATGCTATTTTTTTTTAATAGAGAGATACATACAGTGTGTTGTACTGCAACATAGTATCCAAAGAAAACAAATTGCTAAGATTTACTCTTTTACCATTTTCAATGCTACATATTGGAAGACACATGTAAGTGTACAGAGAAAAAACCTTGGTTCCTTTCCCCACTGCAAAGAAATCTGAGCTGATTTTTTTTTTTCTCCAGTGAAACATTTCATATGAAACCACTCTGAATGCCTTTGTTTACACCTCAACCACTGACTTGTGCAGAAATATTGAAAAATCATGAAATTCCTCTCTAATAACCCGATACAGTTTAAGGCAAAGGTGTGCTGTTTTAGGTGCACAGTTGTTAGCACAGTGATTTATAAGCTTGCACAGTTGTTAGCTATATAAGCTTCCAAGCAATGCTAAATGGTGGAGTTTAGCATTCATTACTTGGCAGTTACATTAGCTTCATAACAATGCAAATGATGGAGTTTTAGCTTCTATTCTTTGCTGACTACATCATGACTATATAGTCATGATAACTTGTGGGATATACATACATACATACATACATACATACATACATACATACATCTTCTAAACCGCTTATCCTTCTGGGTCGCAGTGGGGTGCTGGAACCTATCCCAGCTGTCATTGGGCGGAAGGCAGGATACACCCTGGACAGGTCGCCAGTCCATCGTAGGGCACTTGTGGGGTATAAGCTTCTATTTCTGTTGCTTTGCAGTGATGCTAATTATTAACATTTAAGCTTCCATTACTTGTTAGCCACCACAGCTTTGTAGAAATGCCAAATAATAGCATGTAAGTTTCCATTTCCACTTGTTAGCTAAATAAGCTTCACAGCAGTGCTAATCGGTGAGGTAATAGTGTCCATTACTTGTAGCATATAAGCTTTCAATACTTGTTAGCTACATTAGCTTAAAAGCAGTATTAATTGATGGGATACTAGCTTCCATTATTTGCCAGTTACAATAGATACATAGTGATGATAATTGGTGGGGTATAAGCTTTCATTACTTGTTAACTGTATTAGCTTCATAACGATGCCAATTGGTAGCATGTAAGGTTCCACTGCTTGGTAACTACCTTGGCTTTTTAGTGATGCTAATTGGTTGCATATAAGCTTCCTTTACTTGCTAGCTAGATCAGCCTCACAGCTCCAGTGTAAAACTGAAGATATAAACTTTGATACCAGCCTCAGATTCCAAACATGTCTTGTCTGACTGACTATATTTAGGCTTAGAGGAAAACCGTATAAACATCATTATTCACTAAACTCTTTAAAGGAGGAAAAGGTCATTGTGGAAAAGGAATTGTGAGAAGCTGCTGCATGGTGATAGAATGGTTTATCCATGTTTATTTAGCGTCAGCAGTTTTCTTGTAATTTCTCACTCCCTACACGTCCCTCCCTTGTTGCATTCCTCCTCCTTATCATTGTTGGACGTGTCAGGGAGCGACTGTAGGGGAGTCCCACTGGCATCGTCTCCATCTGAGGCTGAGAGCATGTTCTAAGCTTGCTTTCTCTACACCAGACGAGACAAAGAGCCGCTTCTGAGCTCCAGAGCCAGCGCCAACATCGCTCTACAGGTGAGCATGCAAATCCATCCTCCGCTTCGCTCAAAAGGACTCCGAAACCTCTTTTCCTTTTCCATTTCTTCCTCTTCTGTAGGAGATTGCATTTCTCTCTGTCTCTCTTCGTGCTCCCTGAAGACAGGTAAGAGTGAGGCGACGGGGAGTTGAAAGCAGGCCGCTCTCTCTCTGTCTCTCTCTCTCTCTCGCTTCTCTTTTTTCTCTCTCCGTCAATTCTGAGTTGACTCCTGCGACAGATGGAGCGAGGGGGGGAAGGAGCTAAAGTTGAAGTTGCCTCTGTGGAAGTCGCTGGCACAAGGGTGAATCTTCCAAGATTTGACGACACGGAAAAGAGCGAAAACACAAAAGCGTAGTAACTTTGCTCAATTCATGTCAAGGACAGTCTCAGTGGGTGTCTCAATTATCATCTGTTTTTTTTTTTTTTACTACCATTTCAGGAATGTAGTACAGATGCAAGTGTCAGTTCTAATTACTGTATGATTAGCCACGCAGTTGTTTTGCTGTGTACAAACAAATGTCATTAGCCTTTACAACTATGATTTTACACAGAGAGGTAGATACAATTATAAAATTATGAGTCTAGGTTGTCTGCACATATTATTTCATTAAAATGTTTAGTGTAGAAACCTTTCAATGCACTTTGTGATGAGCTTTTATTATTCCAGCAACACAATATCCAAAGTATTATTACATACTTCTATAACCTAAGTATAGCTTAACGTGTTCGCATTGAAGACCCTTTAGTAACCGTGGTTACTAAATAATAAGCCTTAGTATGTAATAAGCCTGGGATTTTAAGGGGTTAATAGACATTCAGGTAACATTTTTTATGTTTTATAGTCAGTCCTTAAGAAAATATTCAAAGTTAAATACAATTTCTGAATTTTATTGGAGAAGCCTGTTAATAAGCTGACTGTAATAAAAGCGGAATATCATACATTTACAGCAAATAAAAGATATAGATGGGATAAACAGAGCCTCTTAAAGCTGTTATCTTTCACTTTTGCATCACTTTTTCTTTTCATTTTAAGCATAGTTTGATTCAGTGGTCTTGATTTACTCCATGTTTGCACTAGATGTTCTGTGTTTATGTAGAATTGGCTGTAAAGCACTGGAAATGAATTGGCTGAATCAGACATTCGATTTATTCAAACAAACCTTTTATAATTAAAACAAAATAGTACAAAAATAATGACAATAAAGGCAATTTAACCCTTAAACAGGCATTATCATTTCTATCAAAGTATAGGCCTACTACATCCTTCAATTATTTGGTTGCTGTTCACTTGGTAGAACTGAATTGTTGGAACTAAAGGTTGTGGTAGGCCTATACTTTGATAAAAATGATTGAATCAATATAAAAAGTAGTATGTGTGATGTAAATGACCTAGGTAAACATGAACTGGGATGCCCTGTGGGAAAACACACTCAGCAAGCACTTTATCAGGAATACCTGTACACCTATACATTCATGCAATCATCTAATCAGCCAATCATGTGGCAGCACAGCATAAAATCATGCATATACAGGCCAGCAGCTTCATGTAATGTTCAGATCAACCAGGTCAGCGGAGAATGACCAGACTGGTTTGAGCTGACAGAAAGGCTACAGTAAACACTCTGTACAACTGTGGTGAGCAAAAGAGCATCTCAGAATGCACAACACATTGAACTTTGAGGTGGATGGGCTACAACAGCAGAAGATCAAGGCGGGTTCCACTTCTGTTAGTCAAGAACAGAAAGCTGTGGCTGCTATGGGCTCAGGCTCACCACAACTGGACAGCAGTAGACTGAAAAAAACATAGCCTTATCTGATGAATCTCAAATTCTGCTGAGGCACACAGATGGTATGGTCAGAATTTTGGCCCAACAGCATGAATCTTTGGATCCAATCTGTCTTGTGTCAACAGTCCAGGCTGGTGGAGGTGGTGTAATAGTGTAGGGAATGTTTTCTTGGCCCACTTTGGGCCTGTTAACACAAAACAATCATCGCTTAAATGCCACAGCCTATTTGAGTGTTGTTGCTGACCCTGGGCATTCCTACATGGCCATATTTTACCATCTTCTAATGGTTACGTCCAGCATGATAACGCACCACGTCACAAAATAAGTCATATCAAACTGGTTACATGTTCATGACAATGAGTTGAGTGTTGTTCAGTGGCCTTTAAAGTCACTGGATCTGAATCTAACAGAACATCTTTGGGATGTAGAACAACAAGAAATTCACAGCTTGAAAGTGATCCTAAAAAACTGCATGAACTGCATGATGTTATCATGTCAACATGGACCAACATCCTAAAGGAATGTTTCCAACATCTTGTGGAATCCATGCCATGAAGGATTGAGGCTGTTTTGAGAGCAAAAGAAGGCATGATCCACTATTAGTACAGTGCTCCTAATAAAGCGCTTGGTGAGTGTCTATGGTTATTCTGCCATAATGTGGTTAAAATAAAGAAATTGTATTTCTGGTATAATAATCAACTAGCTACTCATTAGACTACATGGGGGTACTGTTATCATGTCATCTACGCTGCTTTAATGTTGCACCACAAGGAATTGAAATATTATATAGCATTTGAGGCTTTTGACAAACATTTAGCAACTTTTTTTTTATGCTTAACAGTCAGTCACAAAGAAAATGTTTGAAGTTAAATACATTCTCTGAATAATATTGGAGCAGCCTGTTAACCATTTAAAACCTGCCGTGTCACTGGTGAGATGGAACACTATGCTATCTTCAAAGCAGCACTGCTTCTCAGTAGTATGAGGTAGAGAGATGTGTTTAAGCTAGACAAAAAGTGCTACAATGCATGCCCTAAATTTGTCGTTGTGGGTTATTTACATCCTACATAAAGCTACAGCATAAGTAAATGATGTAATTATATGTAATCTACATTCTGCATTTGATTGGCTTTGGTTATCGAGTCATAGCCAATCAGAGTATGTGATTTGGAGATTTGAAAGGCTTGGCTTGTCCATACACAGCGCTGGAGAGTGTGCATCGGCCAGTTGGAGTTTTTGTTGCAGAGAAAGTCATGGTGGGAGTGTCTTTGGGCAACTTTAAAAGAAAGGGAAGAGACAAGCAAGAAAATCAACCTAAAAACAGAAACAGAAAAAAAAACTAAAAACATGGCTAAGAGGACATTTTGTACATAGAAGGCTTTACAATTGCTGTTCCATCAGTGAATGACGCATAGTGTAGCAACTCCTCAGATCCTGAATTATGTTATTCAGAAGATGTGTGATTTTAGCATCATGACGCAGGTGATACAGACTGTGTCAAAAAAAAAAAAAAAAAAACTGACCCCTGTGTGAGGTTTGCAAAGTGCTCTTTTGTAACTGTGGCCAGAAATTTCATATATAATCATTGTTCCATTAAAATCAAAGGCTTTTGGGCAGCATTTTCCTTTCAATAAAAACTACAAAAAAACATTTAACTTGCTACTGAGGTTTTATGGATTTATTCACAAATATAGTATACAAATATATTTTGAATGAATTTTATTAGTTGTAGATCTTTAAAAAAAAATAAAAATAAGCACAAAAATGCAAAAGAGTGGAAAGGCAGAATTGTCTCAGTGTAGGCCTTACAGGTTTAACAAGCTACATAGTCCATTTACAGTGAATGTAAGGCATAGACCAGATAAACAGAACCTCTTTACAGCTGCTTTCGTTTACTTTTTAACAGATTGGTTCTTGTATCTGATCCAGCATTTCCCGCTGATATCGACCTGATATTGATACTGGGTACTGGATTGATGCCGTCTCTAGGTACAAAGCATCCTCTCTGATAATACATCTATCTTAATTCACTGGAATCACTGTATGTACCTTAACATAACTGTTGTCTCACACAAGCCTGGAATCAGTTTCCCAAACAAGTATTATGCCTAGTCCTATACTAGCATTCTGATTAGAAATACATCCCTGAAAGGAATATGGACTTGACTTGTCCAGGACTAGACATAATCCCTGTCCAAGAAACCAGTCTCTGCCATTTTTGCCTTTTTTTTGTTTTACTCACATAGTGAAAGGTGGTAATGCAAAATAGACTGTGAATAAAATAAAGGTAATTCAAGTCAATCGTTTTCCATTAACCGCTGGAAGAATCTCAACAACTGGATTTTAGAGCTGTACTTCATACAGTAGAGTAAAAAAAAAGGACACACTATGTACCGTATATAATTGAACTTGTAGGCCAACAGAGGGATTTGAGCGGTTCAGGAAAGGAGCAGGTAGTGGGGATGTACGTTCCAATCTGCATAGTCCAGGAGTGGCGAGGAGTAGAGGCTTCATTTTCTGGACATTGGTTGATTTCATGGGGGCTTTCACATCAAATAGGCCCGGGCCAGGGAGCACTGAGTCGTTTGACGATGTTATGAAAGAAGCCATTAAAATTCACCTGACGGGGTCACGCTCGGCCTCCTCTCTGCTGCCCCGGCAATCACGCGCAGCTACAGCCTCTCGCCGGCGAATCAAATTTCAAATCAAACTTTTTCCCCTTTTCTGAAAAGCTCGCGGAGAGAGACAAGGTCAGAAACTATTATGAAAGCAGAAATGCGCGATGGGTGTGTGTGTGGGTGTATGTGTGTGTGTGTGGGTGTATGTGTGTGTGTGTGTGTGCGAGGAGGCTCTGCGGTTGTCGCAGCATGTGCTGCCATCCTTGATAGTGCGCCGAAAGCATATTGACACAGCAGGCCTGGATCTAAACAGATTACAGTGCTGCGGAGCTTTATCTGCCAGGACTGATGTATATTCTGATAGTCGCGGACATATTTCAATTCTGAGTTTATGAAGAGAAGAACCATATATAAAAGTTGACTGAGGGTGTCTTAGTCTGCATTTTAAGCCATCCATCAGGCGCTGTCCACGGTGTGTTTTCAGGATTAATCCGGCAGGTTGTTTGCTCACTCTTTGTTTATCTCTGCAAGTCTTGGTGGTTTGTTCCAGCCGCTGCTTCTTTCGAGTCCAATCGAAACTCTTTCTTCTGCCCT